AATTATTAAGTTTCCAATATGAAATATTTGCATTATGGTTTTTGGAGTGCAGTGCAGGCTCACATTTATATAGATGGCTTTATGATCTGTTAAAGGAGTAGGTAAAATATCTACTTCTACCCCATCTTTATCACAACTTTCAGAAATTAATTCTGGATAGATTAGAGCCTGACTTGTTACTCCATGTGAAGGCTATGTCATTAGGGTGTTTAACTCTCCAGATATTTTTAAGATTAAATTTATCCATAACATTTTTGAGATTAATATTTATTGAATTTGATCGACCTGGTGGCCATTTATCTGTAGCATAGTCCTGAATAATGTTAAAATCCCCTCCCATTATTATATAAGCATTTGGATATTTGTCCAACCAAGCTTTAAAGGTGTTCCCTACAGCCCCCAAAAGACTATCATTCTCTGGTTTCCTGTTGTACCCATAAACATTAGCAGTAATAATAAACATATCATTACAACTGAGTAACAGACAAACCAAGTGACCTTCAGGATCACTTACAGACTGCACGACTTCACCATTAAATCTATTCTTAAGTGTTATTACCCCAGCTGAATGTTCAGAACCATGGGAAAACCATGCTGAACTACCCCACTGAGCATTCCAAAATCTGCGATCATCATTAACCAAATGAGCTTCTTGTATATAACAGAAATCAGACCCGTGTTGTTTAGCAAATAAAAACAGTGCTTTTCTTTTCATATTATTACGCAGCCCCCTAGTGTTAAAAGAGAAAATAGATGAATTTAACAGATTAACAGATCAAATTGAAAAAATATATACTGTATAAATATAAGAGACTAAAACTCAGGTTGAGCCGAGATCAGCACCTTTAAAAAAAAATATATATATATACAGTGGGTACGGAAAGTATTCAGACCCAAACGGGCTGGTTTTCGCAGCTTTCCACACGGCTTCCCTGTATCTCCTCACAGCGAAGCGAGCGATGACAGCTCGAGGCCTTGACTCATTCACACGCTTGGATCCCTACATCAATCACAGCTGGCAACTGCGGTAACACTTCTTGACACAATACGAATCATCTCCTCGCGAACATTCTCCTTCACCGCTTCCGGGATGCCGTGCACTTTCATGTTCCACCTCCTGCTGTAACGCTCCATGTCTACCACACGATTCATGCAGGTCAGAGTAGATTGTTCACTTATCTCTACACGTCTTTCAATGGAGCCCAACTTTTCTTTTAAGTCCTTAATTTCTCCTCGTGTGGTTTTAACCATCTCTTCTAGCGCATCGCTTCTTGTATTGATGAGATGAGCCAATTTAGTAACAATCTCATCGGATCTTATGTTGTCTGCACTAAACTGGGAAGGCGTAGGTTTCTTGGCGATTGGAGGCTTACTGGGTGTTAAGGGAAGTGGAGGAAATTCTTCTTCGTTTTCCAGATCATGAATCATCCCATCTTCATAATCATGATCAGTGTTAGCCACCCTGCCATCACTGTTCACTGCTTTGCTAACAGCACTTGGTAATTTTTGTGCAGATTTAGGCATTTTGCTTTAACGTAATGATGTGAAAGATATGCCAAAATACTGTACAGTTTTGCTCAATGTGAAAGATCTTTCAGAAGACTAATTTATCCTAATTATCTGAGTTTGATACCGAGAGCTCGAATGTTCCTTCCGTTCACAGCGCCATCTTGGCCACCCCCTTCCCTTAATAGGTCAATACAACCCTTCTTATAGACTCTATGCACGACTACTTCCGCGTTTCGTCTCAGTTGCTCCGCAACTTCCGGTGCCGCGCCGGAAGCGGTGTTTACCTACCGTTTCGATGAGCGCTTTCAGCATAGCATTTTACACTCGCTGCTTGCAAGAACTTCCACGGATTACAGTGAACGATGTCAAGCGAATTGTAAGATTAGCATCGGTCACTCCTTCGAGTAAAAAGGAGAAGGCCTTCAAATTGTATGTTTCGAGTTATATCGACAACTTTGAAGATACGTATTCTCAAGCTAACAGGCTAACGGTAGCTAGCTTCGTTTATGACCGTGCGCGCTCGTATAGACTGTGTTCTGTTTACTTAACCTTTTTAAGATCACCTGTTTTTATAGTTGCACTAATGTTATTAGTATGTTAATACGATCCGCATGACCCTTTAAAGCTACAAATGTCATTGTTTCCGCTTCTGAAAAGGATCGGGTGAGGGCCGTGAGGAAGACAGAAGACACCGTTTGAGAGTAACGTTAGGGAGATTGATTTAGTGTTTACATTTAGTGTATACATTTTCTAAACTTTTTTTTAAATTAAATTTCTATTAATTTCGACAGTAAGTTTAGAAATGCAGGCATAACAAGTCTAGTAGTTATTTTGAAAGAGATATATCCTCCTGACTACCAGGAAAAAAAACAGTTTTGGGAATTCAGTATTTTGTTTAGAGCATAAGAAGAATTTTGAAAAATTATATTTTAATCATATGCTATGCCTCTGTAGAGGACATCGGGACTTTAAAAAGTCCTGTTTTTTAAGAAATAAAAAGACATGAATAGACATGAAAAGGCAAAAAGAGTGGGATTTTTGTTTTAACCAGAAATACATTTTCTTTTTTTATATATATATACCAAACTTTATATAAAGATGATTCTCAACTATGTTATGAAAGATATATTTAAAAAACATTTTTTTTCTTTATGCAAAATGAGTGTAAAATGGCCATAAACAAATGTTTCCATTATATACAATGTATCTAATTTGCATATTAATGTGTTTTTGGGGCAACATAGAATGAACAAATAAGTGCAATAATGGGAGTAATAATTAGCAAGATTTTCATAATAATATCTAATATTTAATAGGACTATTGATATATAATTTTTTCTGTATTCATTTGTTGTCTCCCAAAATGTCCTGGCGTCCTCTACAGTGGACATGTATGAAATCAATGTCCTGTTTCATAACAGAAGCTCATATTTTGATTTGAAACCCCATAACATTTTCCTGAGATGTTGATTTATGACAAATAATATGTCAATTAGTCAGATTTAAATGATAATTACAAAATATTATCATAGTTCCATTAGGGTGTTACACTTGATCACTAAATGAATGTCAGCCATATTTAAAGAGCAAGGAGAGGGAGTGTTCACGGTGAAGCATCCAATCATCTGGTATCTCTGGAAAGCCCTGAATGAGCTCTGTACAGGACATCCAGACTGTATCTAATTTGCATATTAATGTGTTTTTGGGGCAACATAGAATGAACAAATAAGTGCAATAATGGGAGTAATAATTAGCAAGATTTTCATAATAATATCTAATATTTAATAGGACTATTGATATATAATTTTTTCTGTATTCATTTGTTGTGTCTCCCAAAATGTCCTGGTGTCCTCTACAGTGGACATGTATGAAATCAATGTCCTGTTTCATAACAGAAGCTCATATTTTGATTTGAAACCCCATAACATTTTCCTGAGATGTTGATTTATGACAAACAATATGTCAATTAGTCAGATTTAAATGATAATTACAAAATATTATCATAGTTCCATTAGGGTGTTACACTTGATCACTAAATGAATGTCAGCCATATTTAAAGAGCAAGGAGAGGGAGTGTTCACGGTGAAGCATCCAATCATCTGGTATCTCTGGAAAGCCCTGAATGAGCTCTGTACAGGACATCCAGACTTACAACTGTGATGTGTAACGTCTCCGAGAAAAACATAATGTCCTCTACAGAGGACAAAACTCCATAGGCTGGCACAAACCCCGAACAATGGTAAGTTTAAGTGAATTTTCCAAGAATGATACGAATAAAGGATATGAAACGATTGCTTTCCTAACATCATTCCTTGAGGCACACAATGTTTTGTATTAAATTCAACTTAATGCTCTTTCAAAAGACCTAAAACTTTCAGATTAGTGAGATTGTTGCATTGTTGCTGGGCCTCCAGGAACAAGTCTAGCAAACACTGACTCCTACTAAAGTGACCATTGGTATTCCTAGTCAGTGGGATGGTGGTTATATCTGCACGACCTAAAGAAAGGAAACTCGCTGATGGCTTAAGGTGCACACTGCGAACTTCCCATCAGTAATACGTAGGCGGCGGGCTGTTAAATTGTGTTTTGGTAACGACAAATTTGGGGAGAGGACAAATATTCCAAAACTTTCTGAAAATACAGTACGAGAATTAACAATTACAAGAAATGTGTACCTTGGATATTATACAATTTGCGTACATGCACATTTTTTGACAAAAAATAAAAAGTCCTGTAACTCATAGTAACTGTGTGGAATAACTGATGATATGGAAGACCACTGAATAGAAAACTAAACGAGTAATTGCATATTTTTCCTCGTGTGTTTGTTATCGCCCAATTCTTCATTTTAGAACAAGCAATTGTGCGTTATATGCAGGCAGAAATTATGTAAACGTTTTTCTGACAAAAAAAAAAACCCCCGTTAAAATGCAAGATAAAGTCAGAAATGCAAGAAGAAGAAAAAAGGTAATTTTATATCCCATATTGATGAGGAGCCACTGATTTATCAGAAAAATAATGCACACCGGAGGTGGTGATGCAAGCACGTGTACATTTTATGATTATTTTGTAGAACAAGTCAAATAGATCACGTCACAGTCTACTTTTTAGACCTGTATAATGAAATAGTTTCCTTCAACCACAATATCCTCATTAGTTTAACTTTGTGCCAGAGAGGCGAGTCGCAGGGGTCTGGAACCACACGAGAGCGAGTGAACTCATGTCTGCAGGTGAAGCATGTGTGTGTTAATGGAGAGAGCACTTCCAGTAAAGCCACTGCAGAACGTAATGATAATCACCCAACACATCTCGTGTGAGGCTCATGAGCTCAGCCGGTGCATCAGATCATCACCGTGTGTTTATACGCAACAATCAAGAGACAGACGGACACTCTTTGTCAAAGCATGGCTTTATTGTGGATGGTGTAAAGTCCTTCTGGAGACTCTCTGGGGTCTTTCCTCATCTATTTGGACGCCTCCTTCCTGGCGATGGTCTTCCTCCCCTTCTTGTTGTGTTTCTTGGCAAAGCGCATGTTCCTCAGGAACTTAGGGTCCACCTGAAACACCACACGCGTGTTAAACACACACCACAGCAGGACCAGAGCCACCGAGAACCATTACAAACACCATCATACAGACAGAACCGGACGGACCTCCTCTTACTCTCTCTAGTGTTCATTTTGTCAGCTATTGTCAACTCTAGTCTTAGTCCCGTGTTAAATGTCCTTGTTAGTTTTTCTCATGTGTAGGCTACCGTATCCAATTTTATTTCAGTCAAGTTTTAGTAGACTAAGGCCCGGTTTCACAGACAGGGTTTAGCTTAATCCAGGACTAAGCCTTAGTTAAATTAAGATATTTAGGCAGCTTTTATAAAAAATTTGTGCATCTTGAGATGGAACCAACCTATTTTGAGATGTATGTAATAGCAAGTTATTTTCAGTTGAGAACTCAAACATGCATTTTAGTCTGGGACTAGCCGTAAGCCATTTATTTGATTAATATCTATCCTGATGCAAAAATGTTGCACTGCATCTGCAACAGGATTGTGAACTTTTCAAGGTATGCTTGGTCGTTAACCTTTATAGGCATCAACATGCAAACACATGAGAGCTCTGTAAATGAAAGACTGCAGATCAACCTGCCTCCCACACGCTAGGATATCAAGAGTTTCTCTAAACTACCTCCATCATCGTGGTCACATGACGATATGAAACAATAGGTCTTCCGGGCAAAAAGCATAGTTTTTAAAATATATCTACGCTTCTTATTCGAACATGAAAGGTCTTTAAATTTGTGTTTTTGGTCATTATGCTTTGGCGCAGTATCCGTCAAACGAAGTCAAACCGAAAGCAGAATATATGGCTTAATCCCTTGCTTCATTGAGTCTGGTTTCACTGCGTGTTTCAAAGCGAAGCACACACTTGGTTCAGACGATCAGCTCTTGATCCGGTGTTTTGTGCGCCTCAGAACGGCTCTGTTCACACTGAATGAATGCAGTGAACTCGTTTATTACACTGCTGAGAGTTTAGTGCACGTTTGGGAACGCAACAGATACCAGTTGGGCTATATTTTCACGGCAGATGATTACAGCGTTTCACTAGATTTGTAGTGAGAGGCTTTTTTATAACCATGTTTTCACTGAAGCTGGAGTTTTCCTTCAAAATAAAAGCTTAAAAGTGCAGAATGAATTGCTGACAGCTAGCGGTTTAAATGCAGTTCAAATTCAAAATATCTCTTTCAAGTGAAGAAAATAGAGAAGTACTGTAATTTCCCTACTGTAGTGTAAAGCAAAAATAATACCTATGAAATATAAATTTTCATTTATTTTACAGCACAATTGTTTTACAATATATGGCTACTACGGTCATTGTTATTATTATTATATTCTAATTTGTCTGGCTTCCTCAAACACCAGTGTGAATGTAATTTAGACAGACAGTATATCACAAATAAAAAGAAAGTTGTCCCCTTTAAAGTTCACATATCTTTAAGGTTGGCCAGAGCGCGTACACACCTCACGCACCGGATGCCGTGCGTGTGCTCAAAGACAGTTGCACATAGTGGTGTATTAGAGGTAAATATGATATAAATACTGTTGGGTTTCTGGCACAAACCGATCGTTTCGTGTGTTAGGACATCAATGTGTCGTCACGAGCCGCAGGGTTTAATTTGGATTTGTCTGTGCATGTTTTTTTTACTCTCATAGATTTTGTTACCATTGCCATGCATTATACGACTGACAGACTGCAACGGCTGGAGTTAAAAATCATCATGTGTTCTACTGAAGAAACAAAGTCACCTACATCTTGGATGCCCTGCGGGTAAGCAGAGAAACATCAACTTTTCATTTTTGGGTGAACTATCCCTTTAAGCACATGGGTCGGAGCTCTTCATTTTCATCTTCAAGTTTTTTTCCTATCGCAATAGATATCATATAGTGGACTTCTATTGCCATATGGAGATGTTATGTCCTTGCATCCCTATTGCTTTGAAAGAAACATACGTTCCTGTAGACTGAACACGTCACACACACATGACATCGCCATCTTCACAAACTCACAGCTTCAGGATTCTCAGACCAAACCGGACCAGTCTGCAAAGACCCCAAAACGCCAGTGTCATGTATACGCCAACAGCCGAAATGCATGAGAAGTTTTCCATTTTTAGATGACCAATTTGTGAAGGACATACTTTAGAAGTGCATAACTAACACGTGCTCAAACTCCTCGTGTTCATGCTCAATGATCGCTATATTAACACCCAATCAGCACCACGGGGATCATTTCTAGAGCAGCTGCTTTGGTGTAGTTCGTGGAGCTCAGATGAAGTCAGACGGAGATCATACAGTGAGCAAGATGATGCTCACACACACACACACACATCTCTTACCCCTTTCAGAGACTCGTAGCGATGAGACCGCGGCTTCTTGATGCCGTTCCTGTGCCATTTGCGAGCTACACACAGAGAGAGAGAGATCAGCTCAGTATCCACAGCACACTCCGCAGACACTCACAGAGAGAGAGAGACACTTACACACTCACACAGAGAGAGAGAGAGACACTTACACACTCACACAGAGAGAGAGAGAGAGAGACACTCACACAGAGAGAGAGAGAGAGAGACACTCACACGAGTGTAAATGCGATTTTATACAACAGTTCAGTAAATAAGAAGTTAATAGTGTTATATTTGAAATGTGTTTTTGCTCAATTTTGCAGAGAAAGTATTACCTTTAAAGCCACAGCAGAACTGAGCAACACAGCAGTGATTGGTTTCTGAATGAATCCGCGGTTTGAACAAATCGAATGAATGAATGACTCAAAAAACTCGATTTTAGTTTCTTATTTAGAGTATCATTTCATTTAAAGAACAAACAAACAAACATTAAAGGGATAGTTCACCCAAAACATTTAATTCTGTCATCAATTACCCTCATGTCGTTGCAAACGTTCTTTTGTGGAACATGAAAGAAGGTATTTTGAAGACTGTTGGTAACAAAGCTGTTTTGGTTATCAATGATTTTCATTGCATGAACAAAAAATACTGAGATGTTTCTCATATTATCATCTTTTATGTTCCATAGTTTATGTTTGGAACATAACTTTTATGTGTAATAAATTTTATGTTGAATCAAATAAAATATTTCTTTCTAAAACTAATGTGTACTTGATTCTTTCTCATTTAACACAATAATGGCTTTAAATGATCTTTTATGGGTAATTTCACAGACAAATTTAATTTGTGATTAATTAGATTAATTAATCAACACATGTAATTAATTACATTAAAAAATTTGAATCAGCTGACAGCCCTAATTGTTTTCAAATAAACAATGTAATGATTAAGCATCATATTTGCATGTTCGCAGTTCTCTGGCGTTGGTTAATGGTCACATGACATGCAGGTACACAAATAAAATAGTTCATCTTTTTTCAGTAAGTGTTTGATTTTGATTGCTGATATTTTAAATTGATTGAATTTTATGATTTAAATATTAGCGTTTCGTTAAACTTACGAACCCCATGCAGTTTCTTCACAACCCCCAGTTTGGGAAACCCTGATGTAATGTAATGTTCAATACACTTCATGTTGTTAAATAACACCGAATGGAATATGGTTTGTTTCTCTTTTTATTGTATAGCAATACAGAACATCATTATCCTAATTAAATCAATGTGATAAACGAGTTAGGTCAAAGGTAATCTAAAAGTAATCAAAAAGTAGTCTGATTATATTCATGGATTATGTTACTAGCTACAATTTTTGTCATGTAGTTTGAAATCAGTAACAGACTACAATTTGTGAGTAATCTACCCAGCTCTGTGCATAGGATGATACCGTTTATTTGTTTTTAATTGGAAAAACCATCAGCTTGATCCATCAGCGATGGAAACATGCATTTGGAAGCACATTTTGTGAATTAAGGCTGTTCTCTGTAGTTCTAGTCTGCGACACATCAACATATACATGGATATATAACGCATGCTAAAGCTCTTTGGTTGTGTTGTGTTGACTAATTCATATTTTGTAATATTTTGAATGGATATCACATGCACTTCTCAGTTCTGTACAAATGACTAATTGACAAATGTGACCACAAAACCAGTCATAAGAGTCACATTTTTTAAATTGAGATTTATACATCATCTGAAAGCTGAATTAATAGACTTTCCATTGATGTATGGTTTGTTAGGATAGCACAATATTTGTCTGAGATACAACTATTTGAAAATCTGGAATCTGAGGGTGCAAAAAAATCATCTTTAAAGTTGTCCAAATGAAGTTCTTAGCAATGCATATTACTAATCAACAATTAAGTTTTGATATATTTACAGTAGGAAATTTACAAAATATCTTCATGGAACATGATCTTTACTTTTTGGCATAAAAGAAAAATCTATCATTTTGACCCATACAATGTATTGTTGGCTATTGCTACAAATATCCCCCAGCGACTTAACACTGCTTCTGTGCTGCAGGGTCACACATTTGGCTCCAAACTGGTGAAATTCACCACAAGGCAAAGACTTTGGGCCACTATCTGCAATAATCATAGAACATAATAATCAAATGCTGATTAAAAAATGAAGTTGCATTCAGAATCGTGTCTCTGTTCTCTGTAGTCATCTGTGTTTGCTGGACCAAACGCCCACAGCAACACTCGAGTCTCTGTCTGCACATCTGGCTTCTGTTAGAGAGATGAAATTGCGAGCCGGCTCATGTTACAGAGGGGGTTTGGGAAAGCAGAGGCAGCGGTTAGCCGGGGACATTTGGATGTCATTACAGCGCAGGCCTGTTCTGTAATCAGCGCCTTCAGCTTCCTCTTTCTTCTGAAACGAAAGCCTCGTTAAAGCAGCACCTCGGCGGTGCGCCTGAGTTTAGCTCTCGCCGGGCTCAGAGGGCTTTTCTGCCACAAACACGCATGCAGCAGAGGCAAACGGGGCCCGCTTAGTCCCCTCCCAAGCCCTTGACATTCTCCTTCCTCTGACCCTCATGCAGCGCGGCACACGTGTTTTGTGCACCAGGCGCTGAGTGTTAGAGGGCTGTTCAATGGCACGCAGTCCTGCATGCTGAGAGAGGCGCTCTGAATCCAGCTCTCGCTCCGCTGGCGGGCCAATCGCAATGCAGGAGGAATGCCGGTGATGCTTTCACGAGAGCATGCGCTCTGATTGGCCGAGAGGCAGGATGAATGGAGACAGTTGATCTGAATGAGCGTCAGGCAGATCCTCCCAAAGAAACAGCTGTATGGGACACACATCCACAGCACTGAGCGACCTAGTTAAGCCACTGATTGCATTCTACTGTATGATCGTGTAAGAAAAGATATAGGATGTTTCTGTATTGCAACACAAATGGAAAGTAGAGCGCGTTTAAAGTGAGACACTTGACTGTTCCCTAGTAAACAAGAAATATATTTAAAATACACGTATTTCATATTAGTATAGTTCACATCTTTAATCATATTTACTGACACGTCGCTCAAGACGTACTGATATAAAAAAGATAATTAAAATGTATTTGGCGTACTGCTTGTGTACAATGCACATTACTTAATATTAAGCCTGAAATGTGTTTAATGTCACTATTGAAGAGGATTGTACGATCTCTGAATAATATCGCTCTTTAAATGCAAGATATTTAAAGTTTACCTGAAGTATACTTGCAATAGTTCCACTTTAGCACAATCAAATATACAAATAAATATTCAGCACTACTTCCACACAATTAAAGTGCATTAAGCACTAAATTAGTTGTTTCCGTTTAGCAGACGTATACCAGTTTAGTATACTAAAAGTACAATTGCAGGGTATTTTTATTAAGCACATAAATATGTAAGTGTATTTGTAGCATACTTTGCATGAAATAAATGTATGTCAAATACTTTTTAGTATATTTATTTTTCACTAGGGTTATCGTGCCTCTTCAGAGACAAAAGCAGCAGACGTGGCCAAGGGAGACATTCAAGTCAGTACAATCAGAAGAGAAATTAAGTTATGTAAGGTGCGGCTGATGACTCACGGTCTTTGTCACACACACAGGCCTAGTATTTTTAACCCAGCTTTATTGAGCAATCCATGCACCGCTCCCAGTCACGGCTCACAGCCGCTGACCGGCTTTTCCTCTGATAAGAACACGACTGCTCGGACCGAAACACCCGCATGCAATGTGTGTTCACTTTCACAGATATACCCATCGATGTTGCTCAGACTGAGCCCAGTGCGGTGATGCCTTTGTTCAAAACGCCACTGAAAGATGACAGCTGTATTGAAGTTGTTGTGGTTAATTACTCTTACTGTTGTTGCTGGCGCGATGACTTCATTGACTTGGGTGGCAGTTCATTCAGCAAACACACAGATAACAGCGTGGTTGAGACGGGTTCAGACTGGTTTGTCCTCATCTTCCACCAGTTGACTTTCATAATGATGATGCTTTTTGAATCTCACAAGAGATTTGTACATGTCCTGAAGAAAATTTGATTGGTGTTTATTCATGCAAAATATGCCATCAAGGTAATGTGGATGGTTGCCAGGGCTTTGTTATGTGGTTGCTATGGTGTTCTGTGTGGTTGCTAGGTGTTTTCTTCCTGTCTGGTGTTCAAGAGGTAAAATTGGTGCATCTGATCACTTAAGTACGAGCACACTATCCTCAACAACACACATGATTTATTTGAGGAATCATTGACTAAACCAAACATACTGATCTACTATTTAAGCTAATTGTTATTCTTCTGATTCTGCTCAGATTTTAAAACAATAACTAAAGCTTTCAAACTATGGTCACCAAATGTAGCCCAGATCTTCAGGACGTTAGGTAAATTGGGACAGTTTTTGCCATTGAGATGACTGAATTATCTTTTCTAACTGATCTGACTTTTATAATTCCCATGGGACTTCCGAAAAGAATAACATTTCAATTCACTGAGTGGGTCATATCTATCTATCTATCTATCTATCTATGCAGTATGCTAGTATTGCGCTAAAACATGCTAGCAAAGTGTTAAAACATGATAGAAACGTGTTAACAATGTGTTAAAACATTCAATGTGTCTAAAACATGCTAGCCATATAATAAAACATGCTAGAAAACAGTTAAAAGCATGCTAGAAACACACTAAATCATGCTAGCAACATGCTAGCAATGTGGTAAAACGTTTGCAGAACATGTTTGCAGAGTGTTAAAACGTTAGAAACGACAGCAACATGTTAAAAGAACCAATGTGTCAAAAACATGTTAGCATTGTGCTAAAAACACACTAGCAAAGTTTTAAAGCATGTTTGAGACATTTAACAATGTGCTAAAACATTCAATGTGTCTAAAACCTGCTAGCAATATGTTAAAACATGCCGGAAATGAGTTAAAACATGTTAGAAACAGGCTAGCAACATGTTAAAACATGTTAACAATATGCTAGCCATGTGCTAAACCACGCTAGCAAAGTGTTTAAACGTGATCG